TAGGATGGGTGCAAATACCTTACCGACGTAGCTAAGCAAGTTGACTCCACGATAACTGTTGGTGTATTAGTTGTTGCCCTATCCGTTGTACAATGGAAGCACAAGGACATCCGTCAGCTCTACAGGCACTCGGTCTTTCATCTAGACATCTTTCATCAAGCATGGAATGCGCTCATCATGGGTGGTCCCCAGTTTCCCAGTATTTCCGAAGGTATGCCATCCGCACCAGCACATTTCCCATTCCCTAATTGAGAAAGCGCCCCCTATGTTTCGTATATTCCCGATGTGTTCTCAAGTTCGGGCAGTACGCAGCAGTGCTGCAGCACCTGCAGCATGTCCTAGTCAACTTCGGACCGCTTGTTCAGGGGGGTATCAAAGTGTCTGTGCCACACATGCAAGATGCCATCTGATTCTGTATAGACTGCGCCGGTCCCATAGTCTTTCAGGTTCTTACCAGCTGCACGAGGCCCCACACACTACTTTCAAAGAGTTAAAGAAATCTTCTTGCAGGTGTCCAACTTAAGATTTCATCTACACCGCTTTCATTTCGCACCATGAGTTTCGGAGATGACGCAGCTCTTTAGCTCTCCTTAAAAATACTACGTCCTCGTGCGGGCCTGACCGCACAATATTGTCCATAATTATTCGAAATAATTTACCCATGTACAATCACCATGTCCACCGCACTTCAGAGGAAGTTCCGGATGTCTGCAATGACGGAGCGCTTTGTTCTTCAGCTTCTTAGAACTGCGATTGCTGTGGTGGAATTTCAGAAACCACTTCATCCCTCGAAGTTCTTTCTGGAGTGGAGTGACACAAAGGATAATTAGACTCATCAACAACCTGTGTATTCAGTAGAATTAACTTTAAATTGAGCATACTGCTTATCATGTACAGAATCATCCGTTAAGGCAAGTATCATACACGAACGGGAACCAAGGTGGTTAAGAATTATTCCACATGGTGGTCCGAGATTGTTACGAATATGATAGACGACTTCGGCGGATTCCAGGCATTAAATATTTGTCCTATGCACACATCATTTGAACAGCATTCCTGTACTTCATTAGAAAGTTGTCAACGCCTCTGTCAAGCTTAGAAAACATTGCTGGTTTGAGGGAAGCGAATACACTTTTAAGAAGTCACAAAGTTGCTGCGGCCCCATTGGATTGCTGGTGCATAGGAACAGTATAGAAATTGGAGTAACCAACCCCTTTCATCCACTTAGCCACATTCTTAGCACTGAATTGGCTACCGTTTCCGTAACCAAACCAGCCGGTACTCCTTCGCGACTGAAGGTCTTGCAGAGAGCGGTGACGGTGAAGTCTGAATTGGCAGCTGTAGCAAAATATACTTATCATTAATGCATAGTATTTGTCCAAAAACGGGCCACCATAGTCGGCATGTACGCGTTGCCATGTTCCACAAGACACGAGACAAGAGTCCATTTCTAGTGTCTGGAATGGACTTTGTGCGAGCACCTGGCACTGTTCTTCGTCGCGCGGATCAAATCAGCATTCAGCTCTGGCCACCAACTGGTCAACCGCGACAAGGACTTCATTTTTCTACACGCAGATGGCCAGAGTGCAAGTCTACCAACACAACGGACCGAAGTGAAGGATGAAAAATAATACGATCTTGGAAATACAAAATTTCGTCAGGCTTAACGGAGAGCTCATCGCGTAGCTTGTAAAAGTGCAGAAATCGTCCTTTCAAAGTATAATTCCACCCTTTGCGGATTAACGACAGAACAGCATAATAATAGCTCCTCGTATCACACATCAACTGGGATCGGCTTACCGGAAGGGTTTGGATTAAAAGGCACTCTGAAGCCCCAATTTCATCAATTAGCATATTGTGATGCATAATTAACGCGCCGAATATGTCTAGCACTACGGTGCTGAATGTCATACGAATAGGCGGCAAGGTTTATGTTCTAACGCTGCACCGTTGCTGTGGAAGAAATAGCCAAATAATTATGGAGGTGGAAAATGAACTTCAAGACTTCATTGTCAATAACAACTGCAAAATGTATGCCAAACAGATGTGTGTAGGCATGAGAGTGATCGATGCACTGCAAGAGCTTCTCTCATTGTTTGTATATACCCACGTTCAGCTGAGTTGAGACGTTTGGAAACACCCAATACAGGATGCCAAATTTATTCTAATACTGCACCGATACCAGTAGGTGACGCATCTGTAATTACGGTTGAGGGTAATTTTGATGAAAAGGGACGTAAAACAACATCCGTGGAGAGAAACTGGAGCATATTACGCAAGGTATTCTCATGAAGTTGAGCTCAAGCGAAGGTTTACTTAGAATGCAATTCAAACAGAGGCACTGCGTTTGCAGCAACGTTGGGAATAAATCTTGAGTAATACTGCAATGACCCAATCAGTGAAGTAACTTAGTATAAATTCTCCAGAATAGAATGTATGGAGAGCAGCGAAAAAAGCGCAGGATCTGAGCGAAAACGTCCATCGTTAACTAGATAGATAAGACAGGAGAATTTTGTTGTAACAAAAATCCACTTCGACGTTAACAGCGACATTAAGTGAACAAAGCCTTTCTAACAGTGCACATTCTCTCTTCGTGAATGGATTTCGTAGGCAGATGTAGAATGACATCGACTTGGTTTACTAAAATACCGGCCAAGTCGTCGGTCACAGAATTCATAACATCTCGGAAAGTCAACAGTGACACACTGACTCCGAATGGCAAAACCTCTTAGCGAAATAGACCAAATGGCGTATTAAGTGTGGTAAGAGCACTGGAGTGTTCTTCAAGTGGAGTCTGTAAGTAAACATCTTCCAAGTCGAGCTTCGAAGAATGCTTGAATCCGCGCAACTATTGGAGAATGTCCTCGGGTTCCGCAGTAGTGTCACAACTTTGTAACCGGTACTTGTTCAATGTGGCGCGGGGGTCACCACAAATTCTGGGAGACACACCATTACGTTCGAGCAGAGTAACGATTGGTGTGTGCCAATCGGAAGCATGAACTGGTTAAATTCTGCCTGTTTCAACTATGTTGTCTAGTGATTTCATCAAAGGCTCCTTAAGGTCGTAGAGAATGGCTCACCCATTTATGGACACTGGAGTACCTTGAATATCTAGAGTGACAGATTCAATACACATATTACCTAAGGCATTGGAACATTTTGTGATAAAGGAAAAGGTTTTGATTAAAGTGTGTCAGAAAAGATTGAAAGCGATTTGCTTAAAACGCTCATGCTCTTCAGGTCTATGATGGATGGACCAACTTCCATGACATGAAATGTACATTTGCTCGGATTAGACTGATCATTTAAAAGAAGCAATTAACAAGAACCTGGAATAGAAAATGTATGTTCCGTAATCCCTCTTACAGAAACAGTAGTTGGTATTATACGAAGTAACCGTAATCAAAATGGATAAGGATCAAACTCAGAGCTAGCGGTAACACTGAAGTAATAACGTTCAGCGACAGCACACAGAAATCGCATTCAGTGAAGTCGGAATTACGCTACGCTAGTAAGCATAGTAAATAAGAATACAATACTGTGCATGTACAATCACCACAGACTGCAAACGGTGGAACTTGTAGAGTTATCTGTAAACATTGTGCAAAAAGAGCAAATATGACGGCTGAGAACATCTGTATCATTAAGATCGTTGATAATTAGAGAAAGTTGTCAAGCTACTTCGCTCCACGGAAGTTAAGGTAGCCACAGACGGTTTACTAGGGGTTAAAGTCTTCTTGTAATTTGACATCCTGGAATGTTTTCGGGAATGGTAGTGACGTTGTATCGTGGAAAACAGAATGGCGTCCACAGCAAGGAATGTGGTCCGCAGAATCCCAAAGTATGCTTACTGGAATATACGTTGATTGAGTGCTTGTAACAGTTAAACCCGCTGAATTGCATAATACAGGAAAATAAACAAGACTTCAAGCAATAACATGGTCTGGTTTTCCATCTTTTTGTCTCCGCCTTTCATTATGTAATCGTTTTTGATTAGCAATCATGTTTTCGAAAAGAATGAATAAAGTAGTAGGCCATTTCATCGCATGAGATGCAATAATAAATCAAATGAAGGGGTGCAGCGTTGTAACGCACTTATCTGACTTCATCTTGCAGTCATTGACTTGAAGAAGCATCGTTTTGCGATTTGTTGTTAGCTTATGATCCGATTAATTGCCATCGAAAAGGAATACGAAGCGGCGAGATTACCTAGCTAGTGGTGAGCTGTGGGATTACCAGAACTTGGTGTACGATCCGGCATATGGCTTATACAAAAATGCGTCTTCTACAATTCCGACTTAAGTTATCATGCTTCTGTGTAGGAATAGTTTGTAATGGCAACAAAAGGATTAAAGCAAATCTATAGCCTCTTTTTTGATGCCTGTGCCCCTCTCTATTTATTTTTATGCTGTTACTCAATTGGAATATTTTCTTTTTGGGACTAGGCTGTGTTTAGTCATGATTTCGAAAGGCTTTGGGAACAATCGGCTCACGTATTTGTTAGCAACATTTCTCTTTCGACACAAAAGCGTTAGAATGCCAGTTGAAGGATTACGCAATCGGAGTGGAATTTTATTTATTCACTTCATTGTTTGGCGCTGAAAAACTGTGTGATTTATTCAACAGTGAAGCACCAACTTCATCATCATCATCATCATCATCAATCCACATTGGCTGAGAGTGAGAAACACACCTGAGCAAGTATAATTGTTTTTTTCGGCTGGTTCGAAATATCTGTCAAGTGAATGAAGCGTGGCATACGATTTAACTTTGCACTGCGATTTTAAGGGAAGTGAGTCTCCGTCAGGTCAGGTAGGTAACTGGTATCTGGAACAGAGGACCTTGGGGTGTTATTTGCTCGAAAAGCCACACTACACGAGTCGACTCTTCCTCAACTACTATTCGGATAGAGAAAATGTCAGTTCGTTCGATGAACGGATCTACACGTAACTGCTGCACCATCCACTTCAGTTAAGTGCAACTTTTCTACATTGTTTCAGTGAAGCAAACCTTGATCATGAGGACTTTCAGCAAATAACACCGCTGCTGCTGTCGGCCAAATTAGGCCGCGAATTAAGCTGTTCTTTGCTGTTGAGTAACGACGCCAGGGTCAAGGTGGAAGACAAACTTTGGAAGACTCCACTGATGTTGGCCGTTGAGGGGCAATTTCACTTGGTCGTTGAGGTAAGTTAGCTGCCGTTATTTATTTGGAATGCCTCTTACGATAGCTCTGTTTAAAATTGTGTCTGAGTTGACAACCACAAGCCGCTACTCCCAGTTCGATTGGGTCAGAAAGAATAAAATGAATTCTCTCAACAAAAGTTGGACTATTTACATTATTTGCGTGTTGGAACTTTGCTTGCGTGTAGTTCAGTACATTTTCTGTGGAATGTCTGATTCCTTAGTTCATACAGTGCGCTGTTAAGTAGCCAATCAGCCTTGATTTTTAGACTACTTGGACTGTCCTGAATTCCCCCTAGGAAAAACATTTCGTCACTGACTTTCAATGAAGAAAAATAATAAAATTCCTGCTCACGACCATTCGCTATTTTCAGATAGCTTGTGTATTTGCTAACGGCATGTTAAACCTGATGTAGCCTTATTCACATAAGTCACCGGAGATCCAGATAGCAGTATTTAACTGAAAAACGGCCATTTGTTATCCTAGTTTAGGCGGCTTCGGTCGTCAGAACCCGAACGCAATGCAACGTAACTCATAGTCTAGCGGAACCGCGTAGCTAGTAGAGCGTATTTATAAAAGTTAAGATGCTGCGCCATCCTCTTTTCCTGTATAGTCATGTCCTCTCTAGAGGAATCAGAGTACCACTTGACTGGGTCGCCACAGTTTGTGTTTTGTATTATATACTTAATATCAGCATTTGAGCTACTTTACAATGAACGTATAAGTGATGGGTACTGGCCAGGTTGTCTTTGTGATAGATAACCATACATGTAGAGACTGTTGCATTCGCATGGTCCTTGGTCCTACAGTGTTTCCGGGCAAGCAACGCCTAATCTATCCATCTACTTAGCTAGCCGTCAAATTTATAAACAAGGTAGCTTTTGCTCGAACTTCAGTTGAATATTCTTAGTTAACATCCGGACTCATCACCTTGATTATTGACGATTCACTATCAGCTCAGATACAATCATCAGTACCCAAGCCATAATACTCTACGCAATGATTCCAAACGCACATGTCCCCAATGCAGCTGAAGGAAAAAGCAAGGTCCAACAGTTTTACCCTACTCTTTCAAAATAGTTTTAATTACTGTCCATACAGCATCGAACTGATCAATGCCAAAAATATCATTCTTCTATCTTACAGTGTGCTTGATAAACAATTCGATTATAGAAGCCGAAAGAGACAACGATTTCTAGCGAGCACATGATCCTAGGAAACTCTATCATAACTCAGACTGGTTTTCACATCTTCGAAATTCCAGTTGCTGCTTAAAACTGAAGATGGACTCCAGCTTTTGGAATGGGAGGACATGTCGGAAGAGCGGCCCTTACATGCAGCTGTTCGGACTGGGAATATACGTATCACCTCAGTAAGCTGACCAGATCTTCACACACTGCCAGCCTATGGTTTTGTGATGCATCTTAAACCATCCTGGGTTTAATCTGAAGACAGAATTCTACCACACTCACATGAATGGAGAATGGACTGGTGTATCCTAACCGTTAGTTTTAGTCAAAGTCCAAAAGGTTTTGTGTTAGCTGGTTGTGCCACAGTAAAGATACTATAAGTATGTCCTTGAGAAAACGTCGTAGCTGAACACCAGTTCTAGCGTCTGCAGCAGCGGACTTTTATATTTTGTATAGCACTTTATTCTACACCTACTATATAGCTGCATTAAGTGCGCATGTGAACTACAGTTACAAATGGGGTTTTAAAATCAGACGATTGATGTGGTCGCTCTAAGCGCTTCAGTAATCCAGCCCATAGACTTTTCCTTGGATAACAGGTCCACTCTGTCTGATCGATCTACGTCTCTGCCTATATTTACTTAATTATTTGCTAATGACCAATGTGAAACTGTCGAACTGGAATACATTTTATATACAACATGCTCTTACTTTGTTTGACACTGCCGAGTGTTAGAGACTCAATGATGTCTCCTATTTTCACTTATAAGTATCGTCTTATGTACAACTGCTAACAGATGCAGAGTGAAGAACACCGATGTACCAACTTTTCTTTTCTGTTGGTGTACCTAACAGCTTTTGTTGGAACACGGGGCAAACATCATGGCAAAAAATGCACACGAACAGACTCCACTTCATGTTGCCGCTATTCATGGACGTTTTAGGTGAGTCGTGTTTCCTGCTGTAAGCGAATCCCAAAAAGCAAGCTGTTTATTTTGTTTGTGGCTTCGATATTCTGTTGGACAAGAGGTATAACGAAGTCAAGTAATAAGCAGTTTATTAGATACGCAAACTGGACAAGCGTTTACGTGGACACCTACCGATAAGTGCTCAGATATGCATAACATCGCACCCATATTCCTCTTTAGTATCACTTTTGGTAGCGTCTAGTGTTGCAAAGCAAATCACTGAAGTTCGTTCAACTTTCACACCGATAGTATCGTGCGAAAATTGTTGGACCAAACTCCGATTGTGGCATACGAAAGAGATGAAGATGGAAATCTTGCCCTCCATTTAGCCGCGAAGCATGGATACCCACAGGTGATGAAAACGCTTCTTGAGCAGACAATGCAAGTGAATGAGAGAAATGGTCATGGTTGGACTCCGTTGGCATTTGCAGCTGCTCACAACCATCCAGAGTGTGTCAAAATTTTGCTACAGGAGGGCGCTGAAGTGAATTCAAAGGAAAAGTCGAATGTGAGTGAAGGTACCACCAGTTCTCAAAGACTTCCTTACTATTGACGAGGATATCAGTAAGACGTATTCCTTAATGGGTCAGAATGCATGCAGGATTGGACTACTTTGGCTTTAGTATGGCGCATCAGTAGACACCAAGTTTCTAAAAAGCAAAGTATGGAAGTGGTTCATAAGGTTATTGCACTGACTGAAGGTCAATATCCATTATTTTCATGGGAAGACAACATTTTACTGCTCTAGTATCTGCTCTCTACATGAGTGGTTTTTCATTACCTAAAACTTTCTAGTTGAAATAATGACACCCCAGCACTTTTGCATCAGTTGATTTAGTAACTTTAAGAGAACGGCGTCAGTTCAGCCAAACTCTCTTTTCAGTATGTAGCCCCAAATGTATAGTTCCAAAAATTTTATAATCACTACTCATTTCTGTAGGATGAGTTGTACAGTTGGAAAACATGGCTGGCCATCGACTTAGTGTCGATAGCAGAAATAGCTTTTTTCCACCTTGTCCTAGTAAACCTCACCGGCATTGTCCACAAAGCATCCATAGTGAAAGGTACTTGGCACTAACAAAATATAAGTTTAATAACTGTTGGAAAAGACTATGATCATATGACTCCAGGCGTTTTGCTTGCTTTCGTCAAGAATTTCTGGGACGCTTGCTATTCTCAGTCATTTCTGCAACTCATGCCCTCTGTGCCATTAATATGTGTGTGGTAACTATTTACCGGCAGATGACTCCGTTGTTCCTGGCTTGTCGTGGGGGGCACGTCGACGTTGTTGGTATTCTTTTAGAAGCTGGTGCAGACCCGGGGATCCGTGTCAGTAGAGGACATGCTCATTTCGCCCTTTGGAATTCTCTGGATATCGCCATCCATGGGCGCAAAACGTAAGCAACAAATCTTGCCACCCCGAACTTAGTGTTCTTAACACAGTTTAGATATACTAATTAGGTTTTAGCGCTACCTGACCAGCACTTTCTGCCTGTTTATACTTACTGGGAAACGTGCTTGAGAGCGAGTGATTATGAATGAGGTTATTTTTGTAATGCTACTATAACTGACTATAGGGTACAATGAAGCTCTCTGCTTGACTTGTCTACTGTGCGGTCGCATTCACCCTGTCCCAGTATTTTACCCGGATTTGTTTTTCCTATTCTCACCGTCCTCTGGACGCTTGGAGATCTGGAAGAGACACGTCATCGCGAAAGATCAACGTAGGCCTGACCCCAACGTTAATATCCTCTTATCCAAGGTATCGACTGATGTAACCTCGGTAACGCCGACACTCCCTACTGACCAACAGTAACCTATCTATTTCAAAGGTTGATTCATTAATGCAAAACTTACCGCTTGCTATCTTCAAAGTGTGGCTCCAGTAGCAACAGTCGCTGTATCAAAAAATATGCAAAGAACTATGTGTAAACTGCGGAGACGGCACGAACGTCACCCACCACCACGACCCCCATCCCACATCACCGATGGCTAAGCGGAAGTACAACGCCCTAACACCCATATACTCCAGCGTTCTTGGGTCTAAAGCAAATTCCTTAAGGGTTAACTAGCAAGTTGTTCTGAACTAGTGGAATTTCATTTGTTAACGTATCGGAATTCGGGTAAGGCCGACAAACACAATGCGCATTAGCAGATAACCGAATTCGATGCACTACAGTGAGTCTCAAATTTAACGGGTAACGCTGGGATCTACAGATGATATAGAAGCGGTGCTTTTGTGGTTATACCGCCTCCGGAGTGAAGACGGTTGTTGTGCATTTTCTGTAAGTTCCATAGAGCGAATACCAGGAGGATAGAAATAATTCAAACAACCACCGTACGGGCAGTAGCAGAAAAACAATTTCCGTTCATAGCATTACCGTGCTAACGGCAGCTAGCAACTAGGATATCCACACTCATTACCTAGTGGAATGGTGATAAAGCAGTGAAGCACTCTCTGCCGGTGACATCCTCCCACATTCAAATTCTAGGCTGCGCATGCCGCCTCACTCTAAAGACCGTAGTCTTTGAACTCTGAAATCGGTGGTTCATTCTTAACAGCTAGCCGTATAATTAACGCGCAGTGTGCATGAACTGCGCAAAACACTACCTTCGGAACCACGATTAAAAACAGTAGTTAAAATACCGCGGTCAACCGACGTTAACGTGAAAACAAAGGCATCACAGCCATAGCCACAAGAGCGAACCAGCAAACGATGTGCTCATAGCAGTAATTATTGGAAGTGCAACCATTCGACAGCATACCACAGGCAGAAGTGAAGCGAAAAACGGTTTGAAACCGTATCAAGACTTTGTGTAGCACTGTTCACTTGAAAACCACCTAAATACGGCTAGGTTCCCACCCTTCATCCGTCGCCATACTTGTACTCCATTCCTATACGCCTTGTCAAGCGCTTATGACATTCAAAAGCTGTCCCATAGGTATAATAATGCTCAGGGTCTACGTTATATACTTTCTGAAGTGTGGATCCTTCAGAGACCATAACGGAGACATGGTTACGCCCCGACCTAACTGATATGGAGGTCGCGCTTTCAGGCATCTCGGTTGTCCTGCCCGACCGATGCAACAAAAGGGATGGAGTGGGATGTTAATTCTGGAGTGACCTCCAATGTGAGTCCATAGGGAATTCGGTCAAGACACTGTGGGATTTCCGTGTGTGTAGTCCACACTTAGGAGGCGACGACACATGTTTGAAGTCCTTCATCTTCCACGTCTGAGATGGACTTAAATCTGTTATCCTCACTGGTAAACAAGAAATACAGCCTCATTCTAATCACTAAAAGTTCAAACCTCAAGCTTTGGAATCCCAAGTCGCCTTTTGCGGACATGTATAAGCAAAGCTGCAAAATATTTTCTCCATTATTTTGCCTTACGACGACATCAATACTTCCAATAGATCTAGAAACAGACTGGCTGTTCATACCAGACCGTATATTTACCAACGGAAAACATGTGATCTAGAAAATTTTCTAACAGTAGTTTAGGCCGCAGTGATCCTGAAACTGCGTTTCATGTTCACATGATATGCAGAATACCCCGGGAAAAATACCCATGTAACGGGGATCATCACAAGATAGGCTACATTAGCTAGGCTAGTTGAAACCATAAACTGGAATTTCCTAGCTGAGGAGATACCGGATATGGTTTGGGAAATTTTCTGCAGCATGTTTACCACTTTGGTTGTTGATGCAAAAAAAGACTAAGGCTATCTGTTTGAGCAACATGGGCTGGTTTGTACGGAGTAGGACATGGAAATACATAGCGACTCAAAACGCATCAACTCACGCTCCCAAAACCGAGCCAAGATTGAGCAGCTGGAGGAGCTGCACTGCCCACCGTAACCGGTTTATTTAACGACTGCGTTAGGACGAATGCGTATATTGACAGATTTTAACAGCACGATGTTTTCGTATCATAAACCACTGTGCAAGCATATGAACAGACTTCGCAAAGTGAAAAAGTGATTTCCTCCTCTTTAACTGCGGTGAAGCAATGCGGACGGCCAAAGAGACAGTAACTGCTTTGTAGCAACAGTACGCGCCAACTTTTCAGTTTTCAATGGTATCTTGACCCAGTGGAATAGATTGTACCACAAATAAGACGCACTTCAGTCTAATTTCTGTCTGATCCTGTCATGAGAAAGTTGTTATCTTGGCATCCACACAGCTCTCCTTGGATTGACGATGGTTGCCCGAAGGCGCTAGCCGTACCAATTAGTGAATTGCCTGAACCTATGGCGCGATTCTTCCATCACCACCTTGGTGAGATTCAAGTTCCTACAATATTGAAATATGGAATAATAGGTCTAAGTCACAAAGGAGACAGTTGTTCCCAACAAGATTACTACCGTCCAGTGACACTTTTACCAGTTCTTTCAAAAGCCACGAAGACTATCTTTGCTGACACACTCACGGCTTATCTGTACAAACTTGGCTGCATCGCCGGAATCCACCGGACACTACCAATCTACTCTTAACAAGGGACAGTTAAACTGAAACAGTAGGAATAATGTCTAAAGCATTTGGTCGGTTGAACAACTACTACATTCTTCCAGCCAAGCTTCAGGGATACGGCATTGGCGATCCCCTCCTACGGTAGATTTGCAACGTCCTCTTGCAAAAGTGTCTGAAAGTAAAAACGCGTGCATTCACAGTCTGTGTGT